TACAGACCCAGGAGCACCCAAAAAGGCTTGGGGTCTGACAATGGGCATTCCTCCAAGCCTCTCTGCCTAGGGTCTCTGGGGTCAAGAACCAAGGTCAGAGCCAATAGTGACGGTGCATGTTTTTAATTTTAGTACTCTGGCAGATGCAGGAGGATCTCCGAGTTCCAGGCCAGCCTGGTCTACAGAGTGAGTTCCAGGACAGCCTCACAGAGAAACCCTATTTCAAACACAACACAACAACACAAAAACCCCGGGCATGCTCATGGGCCCCTGGCAGTCACAACTCACCAGCGATGTTGGCCACTGCCTGCAGCCCTGATGAACACTGTCTGTTGACGGTAGACAATGGGACAGTCTCTGGAATGCCACTGAAACAGAAGGGGAGATGGCAGTCAGCCCTGGACGTGTAACCAGTCCTGAACATGCCACAGCCTCATAGAAAACAGGCCCCATGAGGCTCCAGGGCTCCCTTACAGCACATAACAGTGTGCATGGAGGGATGACAGCTGTCCACGCCCCCACCAGGGTAGACATATGTAAAGGAGGGATCAGCTACCTGGCAAACCCTGTCACTATGGCCACTAGCAACCAGGGTCCCCAAGCACATGTCCTGCTGCCTTGTGATTCTAAACCCAGGCAGGGGACGCTTGTTTGGGCCAGAGGCATTCTTCCTCACCTTCTGACGACTTCACAAAGGAAAGTAGCCATCACTTTTGCCCACACAGAGGCAGACCACCAGCCTTAGAGCGAGATCTCACAGACAAGGCCACCAACCATCTCCGCCACAGGGCCTCACTCACCAGCACTCACACACCTGTGTGCCTGTGTGATTCTCTGAGAATCTGCTCTTGCCCGGATGAAGAGTGCTTCCGGCGTGTTTGTACCGGGCACTCCTGGGGCTTCGACACCTCTGGGTAGATAACCCATCTTGGCCAACAGTACAAAGCCTCGTTTCTAGCACCTCCTTAGACGAGCTCAGGAAGTTCCTTGAGAATCTTGCTGCTCCTGCTGTACAGTCAGGCTTGGAAACACTCAGGCCAGACTCTCACCGACAGCTTTTCAGGCTTGCTACATTCTTAGTTTCAAATTCCCCATTCATCAAGCCCCTTCCCGCAAGGCACCACATTTTCATCAAATAATTTGTACTGAGCACAAGGTACTGTGTTGAGGAGTTTAAGACACCAGCAGTACTGTGTCCCAGAGGCTGCACAACCAATATGCAAAAAAACTAATCCACTGTCAGAGATGCAAATTACAGGGCCAGATGGCAAAGCCATAGCACAGGGAGGCTCACAGCAACCCACCGGACAAGAAAGCCACTCTTTTGACACTTGAGAGCCAGTCTCCAAAGATATTTGGGCAGGGGTTGGCTGCCCGGGGACAGAAGGGGACAGAATGGGCAGAGTAGTGCATACAGGAGGCAGACAGGGTAGATGAAGGAGGGGAAGTCAAAGTGGGCAAGCAGGGAAGAGGTGAGAATGGAAAGTCACCAGAGGGATGGGAAGTCGACTCCAGGCTGTCTGACCCCCTCTAGTCTCTAGAGGTTCTGTTTTCTGCCCTACTCTGACACTGAGCAGTGTTGCTTTTATGTCTCATCCACCTGAGGGAGGGTGGTCTTCAATCTACACACGTAAGTAATTAAGTACTGCTTCCCCAACCGGAAGACGGGGGGGGGGGCTCCTCCTGGCTTCCCCATCCCCACCACCCCCGGACTCCTCAGGCAGCTCACGTAGGAATGGAAGCAAAGTCACGGACCAAGGTGGTTATGGGATTATTTACCTGACATGTGAAGACAGAGTCCACATGTCCAAAGGCTAAGCAACAAGTTGGCTTTGGGAAAAATCAGGCCACCTTTGCCCCGGTCTCAAAGCCCTGGGTGTCCTGGCTTTGGGCCAGATAACACGCCCTTCAAAGTGGGAGAAGAGTTGGGCCCAAGGATTCCGGTTGATTTGGTATCTAGTGTCCAATCTGATAACCTGTCACCTACAGACTGGTCAGTGGTGCTAGAATCCCCCCACTCACCCATCAGAGGTAGAAGGATTACCTCAGAAATTGGCCGATGCGTGCCATGATGGCTCCAGCTCCTGGCTGAAGTACGTTGCCTGTAGATAGAAACCTCACTCAGTACCAAGTTTTGCACCCTGACTTTCAGCTGTGAGTCCCAAAGAGGTCAGTGTACATATATTTCTTCAGGATCACTTCGGGATGTTCCCAGGCTCATGTGAAACTATAGAAGTTAAGAGTCTGGGGAACGGGGAGCCAGCTACCAACCCCCCCGCCGTCACCCAGCAGCCCAGTGCTGGAGGGCCTCCCCCATGCGTGCCAAGGCATGCTCCTCCACATCAGCAAGCTGGGCAGGTGGCCTGCTCACCTGGCAACAGGAGAGTGCCTCTAGGGTAAGAGGCACAGTGCAGAGCCTTGAGCTGAGGGAAGTAGGGCTTTGGGGGAAGGAAGGGAGTCTGCAATGGCTAGCCTCCCCAAGTGTCCTCCCCCAAGCCCTGTGTCACCGCGGGAGGAGGAACAGGCTGGCATCCCCGGATAGAAGCATGTCCTTCCTACACGATGTTGTCTAATTCAGGGAAAAGCGGGGGTTAGGGCAAGGTCGGGTGAACCCTGTCTACACCTGTAGCCGGGCTGACAGGCAGAATGTCGGTGTAGGTGGAGAACCGTGGCCTCCCACCTCCTGGAGTCTCCAGGAATATCTGGGCTTTAGAGCAGGGGTTCTCAACCTTTCTAAGGCTGCCACCCTTTATCCCAGTTCCTCATGTTGTGGTGACTCCCAACTGTTATTTTGTTACTATTTCATAACTGTAATTTTGCTACAGTTATGAAGTGTAAAGTAAATATCTGTGTTTTCCGATGGTCCTAGGAGGGGTCGCGACCCACAAGTTGAGAATCGATGCTTTAAAGTATCTCCCACAGGGCATCCTGCTTTCCACCGCCACTCAGCTGGCTGCTGCGCTTGGAGGTGGAGCACAGGCCATCAAGGGATCATCCCACTGAAATCAGTGGAGTCTGTCAAGTGTTGCTCTGTGAAACCTGGGTTCGAGGTGAGAAGGGGAGGCCCCGGAAGGGAGGACGAGGAGGACCCGGCGCGGGCCTGGCAGGTGAGCTCACCCACGGAGATGTCTCCCAGCTGCTCAGGCCTGAGGTTCACGTCCTGGAGAACCGCGGTCAACACGGCCGACAGAAGCTCGTCCGGAGTGGTGTCCTGCAGGGCGAAGCGCAGCGGCAGTGAGCCCAGCTCCCGCATCCCCACCCGGGGACTCTGCGGTCACCATAGTCCAGAGGGCAAGATCGCACTGGCCGCCTTCTGCGACCCTCGACCGTTGGAGGGGTCTCACCTTGAAGCCACCGCGGCCCGAACGGCCGATGGGGGTGCGCCGTCCGTGCACTACCACCACGTCGGAGGCCGAGGCCCGCGGGAAGCCCGCGGAGCAGGGCGCGGCTTGCAGCGCGAGCGAGCTCGACTCGGGCCTGCCGGCCAAGTGTCCCAGCACTACCTGCAGTCGATGCATCGCGGAGGTGGGTCCCGAAGATTTGTCTGGGTTCTGGGTGCAGTGCTCGAAGAATAAAAGAGATCGCCGGCGCAGGCGCAGGACAGCCTCTACCTAGTGAGGCCTAAAAGTTGATCACAACCCTGGTCGAATAAAGTCGCGAGTGATGGGGGTGGGGCTCCCAAGGGACCCGCCCACTCCTAGACACAACCAATTAGACTAAGGGGCGTGTGCTTGAGGGCACGCCCGCAGATACCCACCGCTCCCCGGAGTCCCACCCAAGGCAAGTCCGGAGATGCTCTTTCCACTAAAAGCCCCGCCCACCAATTCTACGGAGGCCAATCAGAATGTCACCCTTAAGCCTCTCCCAGAAACGCAGACTGGAAACTTAAGTTTGCGCAACCTTTTGCAGACACGGAAAGGAGGTACCCCTAACTTTTGGTTTCCTAAGATGAACGCAGCCTCAAGGGTGCCCCTCCTCCAAAGCACTGAGCTCAGCGCGCAGCAGCAGGAAAGGCAGGAAGGCGGAGCCCGGCACACGGCTTCTCCCTTTGCTGGGCGAGCTAGTAAAAACACTCCGAGTCTCCCATCAAAATTTGCTTTGTTCTGTCCGGCGTCCCAAAACCCAGAGCTGAGGACTTAGATAATGTTGCAGTGCCTAGTTCGGCCCCGACGGGGTTGGACTGTCACAGATGCTTGCTCAAAAAACAATGCAATTTTTGTTTCCTGGTTGGTATGAAGAACCGATTTTACAAAAGTGAGGAAAAGCAGGCAGGTTCTAACTGTAGCGTGTTTCACATGACTTCAGCTTAGTTTACATCTGCTTGGGATGATTTCATTAGCGTACACATTCCCCTAGGAATTCTACTGAGACGGGGGAGAGGGGTGGAGAGAGTGGAGACCCTGAGTTTGAGATTGACACCTAAATAGATTAACTAAGTGAATGAGCAAAAACAAGGTTCCCTAGGTCTAAACTGTACCCTCAGCATTAAAGAGTAAGGTGGTAGGTCCGCGTGGCTTTTTGCAGACCCCCGGAGGGTAGAACTGGATTTGCCTCATACCAAAGGACAGGATGCCCTAAATGCCAGCTCGCGGGTAAGGTTGTGGCTTACCCCTTTAAAAGGCAGTCACCGCTTGCACCAGATGGCTGAGGGCAGATTGTGGCTTCACGTTGCCACTTCCGAAGTCACGTCTGTCTCTTCTTTCCCATTACCAGAATACAGGTTACTGTACATAAGGACTGTAACTCCTTCATGTCCTAAACAAGACGGATTCATCTCACCATGCATTGCCACCACTACCAGATCGACCAAGACAGGTCTGTAGGCCACGAGACCGAAGCCAGAGACCTTTTTCCAGGTTCTCACACCTTCAAAGGGAGTCGAGCAAAGGTTAGAAACACGAGTGGGGTGGAGCTCAGGCCGTGTTCAGATGCATGCGCGCGCGCGCACACACACACACTCCGAGGGCAGTGGCTGGGCACCCCAACTGCGCTCTTGGGTCAGGGACTCCAGATTCTAGCAAAGGGCGGAGCTTCTCGGAAAGTGAGGGAAGGCGGGGCTGGCAGAAACCTTAGGGGAAGTAGGAAGCTGGGCTGGCGAGCGGACCGGACCTAACCGAAGCTCAGGTTGGCTCGCCATGTCTGCGGGAGGCCCGCGCGTGGGATCCGTGTCCCGGGACTTCTCCAAGTTCTCCCTACCATTGGCCGCGCTCAACATGGGAGTGCGGCGCCGTCTCTCGCTATTCTTGAATGTCCGGTTGCCGGTGGCGGCCGACTGGACCTTGCTGGCGGAGGAGATGGGCTTCGAGTACTTGGAGATCCGACAGCTGGAGACGCGCCCTGACCCCACGGGCAGTTTGTTGGATGCCTGGCAGGGGCGCTCTGGCGCGACGGTCGGCAGACTGTTAGAGATGCTGGCCACGTTGGACCGTGAGGATATACTGCGGGAGCTGTTGCCCCACATCGGTGAGGACGCGTGCTTTCTGGCTTTGCGCCAGTGTTTGAGGAGGCTGGCTTTGGCATATCAATCTTGTTTTATTTTTCTGAGGAGTGCTGGGCAGGGAGGGAGAGATGGTCGAATTTTCTGTCAATATGCAGGACAGCATAGGGATTGGGAGCGGGTTCAAAAGCCCTAGTTAGGGTGTGGAATGAGTCTAGGCAATGACCTTGCATTGGGCCCAGGAATCAAGATCGGCTTCTCTGGGAGCACCCAGCAGTGTCAGGAGCAACAGGGTGGGTGAAGGACTAAAGCCCTTTCTGTGTCTCACAGGCACTCAACACAATGCCCCTGCCCAGGTACCTTGCTAGATGGGGTCACCACCCTCACTGAGCACTTACCAGATAGCTGAGCCCTTCAGCGTTCAAGCCCCCCCCCCCAATGCCCTGCACCCTGCACGATGTCGGATTTGGAGCCATTCTCAAGAGCCTTAGAAACGGGATGCAGGATGATGTGTGAGAGGCAGGTGCCAGCTGTACTTTGTTGTCCTCCCAGATGCCCACTTTGGAGAGTCAGACAGGATCAGTCCATGACTCCAGTGGCTACTAGAGAAGGTCCAGCGCCAGTTGTGGAACACAGACAGGGTGTAGATGCTGAGTGTGTACAGCAGCCTGGGTAACTGGGGAGCCTTCTACACCCCATCTCTTCTCCACAGAGAATGACTGCAAGAAATACATAACGAAGCAGCAGATGCAGGAATCTGAGAAGCCTTTACAGGTGGCCAGAGTGGAAAGCAGTGTCCCACAAACAAAGGAGCTGGAGGGGATCACCACTCTTGACGACCCGCTGGGTGAGGGCCGAGTGTTGTTCCCCTGGATAGGCTAGGTGGGCCACAGCCCCCGGATGCGTGCAGAGCATGGACGGACCTGGGGCCTTGAGCAAGTCCCTCCTTCTTTCTGAGTCTCGGTTTCCCCATTCAAGAAATGGGTATAGCCGGGCAGTGGTGGCGCACGCCTTTAATCCCAGCACTCAGGAGGCAGAGGCAGGCGGATCTCTTTGAGTTCAAGACCAGCCTGGTCTACAAGAGCTAGTTCCAAGACAGGCTCCAAAACCACAGAGAAACCCTGTCTCGAAAAAAAT